TTTTATTTTTGTGAATGTGAATTGTTATAGGTTTTAATTGTATATTTATGTATTGTTTTAATGTGCTGTGAGCCGCCCAGAGTCCCCCATTGGGGGGAGATGGGCGGGGGACAAATTTAATAGACAGATAAATAAAATGGAAGACAGCAAACCCTTCCTGGTGGGTTAACTCTGGGAGTTGAAGCCCGCTAAAATCAAAGCCATTTCCCGCCATGGCCTTGCACACAGGGCGTCCCATCCTCAAAGAGAAACGCACAAAGGATTTCCGCCTCATTGCCCCCGCCGCCGTGTTTCTTGCGAATTTAATCCCGCTGGGCTCCGTGGGGCTTACTCTGGGGCAAGCAAGCTTAACCTTGTGTCGAGAGGGAAGGGAAGGGGCGACTAGCGGCCTCGTTCCCAGGGCGCTGCCCCGCTCGGCCCCAAAGCGCCTTTTGAATTTGCTAACAAAGCAGCAGGGGAAAAATGCGCGGGGCGGGTGGGGCGCGTAGGCGTGCCGCGAAAGGGGAACCAGAAAGTTGCACAACTACGAAATGGCAGCCGAGAAATTGAGAACAGCTGATGTGGTGCAATGGCCGAGCAACCCAACGGCATAGGCTCCTTTGCGTAAACAGCCGATCCGGGCCAGTGGCCCATTGCAAAGGAGGGAAGAAAATGTGGCTCGCCTGCAAGCTTCAACGCGCGTTTTCCTCGGGGTACGGTGAATACGACTGAATTGCAGAGGACGTGCATCCCAAGGGAGTCCTCTGCAAGCCTACGGTGGGAAGCGGGCCCGAGAACCCTCCTCTGCAGCCAAAAAACCTTCCCTTCCTTTCCCTTCTCCCGCCCGCGAGACGGGACCGATTAACTTCGCACCGACCTGTTGCAGCTCGTTGGTGAAATAGAGGAAAGTGATGGCCACGCAGATGGACTGCAGCAGCACGGCGAAGATCAGGACGAGCCCGCAGGTCTGGCCGGTGCTGGGGCCTCCGGATGCCAGCATTCTGGCCGGTGGCGGACAAAGCGGGGCTCGCACGATGAAATTGTGGACGGGCAGCTTTGCCTCTTGGTGAAGAGAGTTGCTTGCTGGGCCGAGCCCGGGGGCGTTAGGCGGAGCCGCGTTTGTACTTCGCTTTTCAAGCTCCTCCTCTTCATTTGGAAGCTCCTGAAAGTTAGAAGGAGATCCGGGACGGAGAGAAAAAGAAGCAAGAAGGAAGGAAGGAAGGATTCACATCGCCGCTCTCAACAGTCAACACGTTGGGCCCGCTCGTCCTCAGATGCGCTGTGTTTAGGTGAATGCAAGCTCTCATGGCGCCTTCACACAACATGTTAACCCGGGTTACCGAAGGAATCCGTTTCCTAGAATTCGCACGCGACCTGGAACCATCAAGTAAATGGGGTGGGTTTGCACCGCAGCGTAGGCTGCCAAAAAACAAACAAACACAACCCCCCCCCCCCCCAGATTAGCGCTAAGCAAATTTAGCAGGTTACACGAATGCAGCTGCATTGTTGGCCAGGTTAAATCAGCTGTAGGGACACGATCATTGTATTGCGTGCACTGATCCCATTGAGTTACTTTATACTTCAATGTACAGCGATGTATAAATCCAGAAAAAGGGTTAATCCAGTAACCTGATTAAATGTGTTGTGTGAATGCAGTCATAGTCTTATTTCCAAATACAGTACTGCAGAAGGTACTGTGAGTACAGCAGTTATTTGAGGAGAAAGGTAGAATAATCCTTAAATTGGTTAATCCATTCACTTCTGGGCTTTTGGCATTCAGACCAGGGTTGAGTAGAAGAAAACCTAACTGTTGGGCATGTGCCCTTGAAAGGCAGAATGCTTTAATACATTGTATTAATTTAATATTAATACAGTTAATAATTGTAATAGCCAGGAAAGTTGCAGCAACTATCTGATCTTGAAAAACTAAGCATGTTTGGTCCAGTTAATATTTGGATGGGAGACCACCAGGAAATCGAAGCCTGCCCAGGAAGTCAGCTAGAATCATGGAAGAAGGCAGTGGTAAACCACCTTGATATTCTTGTCAAATAGACCATGAAGCTGACTTGAAGAAAGCTTTTATCTACTAAAAATTTCCAGAGAGTAGATGGGTGGAGGGAAAACCATCCACAGTTATAGTTCAATACCTGAAATCATGATATGAGTTGGTATTTTCCAGCAAAGATACAGGCTAGTACATGAAAACATCATTCCAAGAAGTATTTTAGATGTTTTCACCCACTCTGTTACTTGGCCCACTGAAATTTTATCAGATGGGTAATTTCCAGTGAACATCCATTATGACAAACTTTAGCAGCTCCCCCAACTATAAGAAACAGCCCATTTTATGTGCAAGGGAACATCACTATGGAGGACACAAACCAAAATGTCCCCTTCCTTTGTGCAGGACCGGGTTGAAGGCTTTTTTAATGCTCCATGACTGGCAGGAACTCAGAGAATGGTGCCAAGGGTTGGATTTTGCAATCACCTGTGTTGGTGGTCCCAGCATTTTACAGCTGGTAGAAGTGAAGGTGATTGTAGATCAGTGTTGTCCAAACTTGGCCACTTTAAGATGAGTGGACTTCAACTCCCAGAAT